TTAGAAAATCCAATATTTCCTTAATTGTAAATGTAGTCTTAAAACCCAAAGACCGAATGTACAAGTAATTTGTCATATTTTAGTAAACATGCAAGTTGAATCGACATAAACTCGTTCAAAATTTTAATGAAGTTCCCCTAATTCCAAGTTTATTAATACTTTATTGAGTTTATTATAACCAACGATGACCAAGGTTGCCTAAAACGACGTTCTTCAGCGTCGGAAATGTTAGACATTTGTCACCCCAGACCTATCGGTCTAACTTTGCATGCAGTTAAGTGTGGGTTTGTCAAACCAATATAGATCTATACACAACTATCACGCTCTCCCTCAAGGAGACTCTGTTTACAATAATGGACTTAATGGTAATTGAAGTAAATGTCTCACAAAGTCATTAACGAATTACGTGTTATGAAAACTTGGTACCGTATGGCCGACCTTGCTAAATGAAAATATCCTTTGTATAAATGTACCCTTTTTAAATGTATGTGTTATGTAATGTATCATAAACTATACCTATTATAGTTTATCAACCAAGGGTAGTACGTAGTAATGTATGCAAACTATATTCAAAATAGTTTATTAAATGTTTGAATGTATCGGTTGTACTTTGATTATAATCACTTGTTATTCTTTATTTTTATATGTCCAAATCCATTTGTAAACTGATGTGTGTCTAATATTAAGATAAAATGTCATATATTGCAATAACATATAATCACATAAAGATCTACACCTTGCTCAACATTTACAAGGTGAAATAAATTGACAGCAACTTTTCGTTGAATCAGTTTCTGTTACTGTTCTTAGAAATTTATAGAAAATCATCAAAGCTCCAAATCCAAATCCGCAAATTCTGAGAGTTTGGAATATGTCAGTTTGTTCGTAAATTTATCATGATTTTTAGTGATCTCTAACAGAGGTGAAAATGTTCATAATCACAGACTGGTCCGGGTTTTGCCTCTGAAATGACAGGCAGTTTTGTAAAAATCACCATAAATTGTAGAAAATCATATGGAGATGTGCAAGTAGCCATTTTAAAGCTAAGATTTGAACTACTTGCACCTGGAACAGTTTTGAAAACTAAAATATTTAAGTTGACCAAAACAGTCCGTGATCGAAGTTCATCTTTTCTGATGTAATTCTGATAGAAAAAGTTTAATTGTGTTCTTGATGATTTTACTTGTATTCCCCCTTAAACTTAAGAAAACATGTAAATGTAGGGGTATGAACTCACCTATGTGGTTTCAGTAGATGAAGTGAGAGAGAGGAAGTGTTCAACCCAAGAACACTAAGAAGATGTCTTGATGATTCGAGAATCTAACACCGAAATATGGAATTTGTGTAAGATATCAATGATTTGAGTAGAATGGAGTGTATAATTATGAATGATGAAGATACTTACTAATTGAAGAAAGAAATCCCTGAAGAAAGCCTTGAAGTTGAGAGAAAAGATGAGAGAATTTTGGAGAGTGTCATTTGGTTGCTAAGTGTAGAATGAAAGAACTTTATGGAGAATGAGAGAGATCAATCCTCCAGCTCTTAGAACGTGGGAAGAGCTGAGATTGGGTGTAAAGGTCCACTAAGGAGACAAGGGGTAGTGGGAAAGAGTGGCTGATCATAGAGTGAGGTGGTGGTGGTTTGCTTTTTGCCATAAATTAAGGAAAAGCAAATATTCCCTCAATAATTAGTTCAACCACTAATTCTTTTAATATAATTTTTATAAAACCCTGGAGATTTATATATTTTTGGGGCCTTAGTTTATAAAATAAAGTTTTGGGTGAAATCCCACGTTAAAATAATGAAAAACGGAGTTAAAACGAAGTCGTAGTCGAAAAACCGGTAAAAAGGGCCGTCTGCGAGACCCCTCGCATGGAGGCCGGATTCGACCTTCGCTGCGAGGCTGCTGTCTGAATGGCTTCGGATTCGGTCCTGATAGAGGCTTCGAATCCGAGCCTCGGATGAGAGCTTCGGTCCTGAAGCTTCAGTTTCCAGGTCCTTAAGGCTATTTTACACCCCGTTTTTACCCCGTTTCAAGCGATTTTTGACCCGGTTAAGGGTCGGATAGACCCAAATGATTACAAAAAGTTAAAGTAACTTTGAGAGAGGTTTGGGAGAGATTTGGGAGAGATTTCAAATAGAAAGAGATAAGTGAAAACGATTTAGAGAGGTTTCGTTTGTGATTAATTTGAGTGTCCGGCTTCACAACGCAAGGTTCGTAAACCCCGTTAACCGTGTTTAGTGTCGCACACAATCCCGATGATTGTGCAATAGTGTTTATCGCTTGGTTCGTTGTTAGCACTGTTAAGGCTAAGGAAAATCAAACACATGAACTTTCCAAATGATGATTTCTCATTAAAATAGCGAATTGTACAGTGATTACATAACGTAAACCCTAACATACAGGGTTATTGGAGTTGACCGGTTTGACTTGTTGACTTTGTTTGACTTTGACTTGACCGAAATTTTGACGGTTGTCACATCACCCCCCGTTAGAAGGAATTTCGTCCCGAAATTTTCATTTGACTGGGATTTCAAGAGTTTGGGAAGAGATGTGGATACTTTTGATTCATCTGATCCTGGCGTTCCCAGGTGAATTCGAGTCCTCGTTTAGCGTTCCAACGGACCTTCACGATGGGAATACGACTTTTGTTTCGTTCGTTTGATTCCCGATCCATGATTTCGACTGGTTCCTCCACGAAGTGGAGATTTTCGTTAACGATTTCGTCGAGTGGTATTACGAGTGTCTCATCAGACAAACACTTCTTTAGGTTCGACACGTGAAATGTGGGATGTACTTTGTCGAGTTCCTGAGGTAATCGAAGTTTGTATGCTACTGGCCCAATCCTAGCAAGGATTCGAATGGCCCGATGTACCCCGGATTTAGTTTCCCTCCCTGTTGCCGAATCGTATCATTCCTTTCCAAGGGGAAACTTTTAGTAGTACACGATCACCCACCTGGAATTCCAAGGGTTTGCGTCGTTTGTCTGCGTAACTCTTTTGCCGATCGCGAGACGCTTTCAGTCTTTCTCGAATTTGAACGATCTTTTCTGTGGTTTCCCTTATGATTTCAGGGCCAGTGAGGGTGCTATTAGAGACTTGCCCTCTAGCTAGCTGTGTATCCCCCACCTCAGCCCAACACAGGGGTGATCTGCATTTGCGACCGTAAAGAGCTTCGAATGGAGCGACTTTGATGCTAGTATGATAGCTGTTATTGTAGGAGAATTCGATAAGCGGTAGATGGGTATCCCATGCTTTACCGAAGTCTATCACACAAGCTCTTAACATGTCTTCCAACGTTTGAATGGTTTCGTTCGCTCTGTCCGTCGGTTTGTGGGTGGTAGGCCGTACTCATGTCAAGCCTAGTTCCCAATGATTTTTGTAGAGACTGCCAAAACCGTGAGGTAAAATCTACTATCTCTATCGGAGATAATGGATATCGGCACCCATGGAGTCGTACAATCTCTTTGATGTACGTTCTAGTCAGCTTCTCCATCTTGTCGGTTTCTTTTATCGGTAGGAAGTGTGCTGATTTGGTCAATCTGTCTACGATTACCCATATGGTGTCAAGCCCGCCCGATGTCTTAGGCAGCTTGGTTATGAAGTCCATGGTTATTCGTTCCCCTTCCACTCAGGTATATCCGGCTGTTGTAATAGCCCGGATGGTTTCTGGTATTCGATTTTGACCTTGGCGCAAGTCAGACACTTGCTCACATAGGTAGCAATCTCAGCTTCATGTTCGGCCACCAGTATAATTTCTTGAGGTCCAGATACATCTTATCTGACCCGGGATGGATGGAGTATCGAGTCTTGTGTGCTTCATTCATGACGACGTCTCGGAGTCCACCGAACTTCGGTGTCCAGATTCGATTCATGAGATAACGTACTCCATCATCCTTGACTTCTAAGTTTTTATCCATTCCCCTTAATGTCTCCCTGCCACCTTTTCTGGTTTCAAAGCTTCTAGTTGAGCTTCCTTGATTTGTATGTCGTGTGGGAATGGATCGTCATTGTTAAGGATTTTACTCGGCGGCCCGAGTACTCCTTCCTGCTTAGAGCATCAGCCACTACATTGGCCTTGCCCGGATGATAACGAATTTCGCACTCGTAGTCATTCAGCAACTCTACCCATCTCCTCTGTCGCATGTTGAGCTCTTTCTGATTGAGGATATGCTGAAGACTTTTGTGATCAGTGAAGATAGTGCATTTCGTGTCCGTAGAGGTAGTGTCTCCAGATCTTCAAAGCGAATACCACTGCTCCTAATTCCAGGTTGTGCGTAGTATAATTAACCTCGTGCGTCTTAAGCTGTCTTGATGCATACGCGATAACCTTCCCTCTCTGCATGAGCACACATCTGAGGCCTTGTTCGAAGAATCACAGTACACTACTACGAAGTTCGGTTCCCTCTGGGAGAGACAAGATCGGTGCGCTGCATAGGGCTTGTTTTAACGTTTGGAAAGCAGTTTCTTGTTATTTTCCCACTTGAATATCACACCTTTCTGCGTCAAGGTGGTGAGTGGTTTCGCAATCTTGGAGAAGTTTTTGTATAAATCTTCGGTAGTAGCCAGCAAGCCCAGGAATTGTCGAATTTCGGTTGGCGTCTTGGGTGCGGACCAATTCTCGATTGCCTTGATCTTGGAGGGATCCACATGTATGCCTTTCTCACTTACCACATGGCCAAGGAAATCCACTTCTCTAATCCAGAATTCACACTTAGAGAACTTAGCATAAAGCTTCTCCGCTCTTAGTGTCTCTAAGCACTTGGCGTAGATGTAGTGATGCTCTTCTTCGCTTTGCGAGAGATCAAGATATCGTCGATGAATACGATTCCAACTTGTCTAGGTAGGGTCGACACACTCTATTCATTAGGTCCATGAATACCGCAGGTGCGTTTGTTAAACCGAAGGACATCACCACAAACTCGTAGTGCCCATAGCGAGTTCTGAATGCAGTTTTGGGAATATCTTCTCTGAACTCGTAGTTGATGATAACCTGACCTTAGGTCGATCTTGAGAAGAAATTTGCTCCTTGGAGTTGGTCGAAAAGGTCGTCGATTCGGGGTAGAGGATATCGGTTCTTGATGGTGAGTTTGTTTAGTTCCCGATAGTCGATGCACATGCGAAAGGATCCGTCCTTCTTCTTTACAAAAAGGACTGGTGCTCCCCAAGGTGAGAAGCTTGGTCTGATGAACCCTTTGCTCAAAAGCTCGTTCAACTGACTGGACAACTCTTGCATTTCTGTTGGTGCGAGGCGGTATGGAGCTCTGGCTACGGGGGTGGCTACGGGGGTAGCTCCGGGTATTAAGTCAATTCTGAAATCGACTTGTCGTGTGAGTGGTACACCGAAGATCTTCTGGGAACACATCCGGGAAGTTACACACTTCGGGGATGTCTTTGATGTCTTTCACGTCTTGTTTCTTGTCTACTACGTGGGCCAGAAGGCGTGGTACTCCTTCCGGAGATACTTTTGGGCTTGATGCATGAGATGATTTGTAAATTCGCACTAGGTTTGTCACCATAGATGAGAAGGGTTTCGTCATTTGGTAGATTGAGGCGAACGGCCCTTTCGTAACATAGAATGTCGGCAAGGTGAGGAACTAACCAATCCATCCCGATGATTACGTCAAAGCTTTTTATGGTGACCGGCATCAGGTCAATTTTAAATGTATGGTTGTCTAGAGTGAGAGTACACTCTGAGTATATATCGCTAGTGCGTTCTACTTTCCCATTTGCCATTTCTACTACATAAGTATCCTTTAGTGATTGGGATTTTGTTCAAGTAATTGTTTATATTGGTGGCTCACGAAACTCCTCTCCGCTCCACTATCGAATAGTACGCATGCATAAGAGTTATTGAGGAGAAACGTACCGGTAACCACCGCGGGATCCTCAACTGCTTCCCATGTCCTATTGCCAGGATTCTTCCTACTCCACCAACATTAGGGGCTTGTGCTTTGGGGCAGTTTCTTTGAAGTGACCTGCGTCTCCACAGTTGTAGCAGGTTCGGGTTGCCCCCGTACTGGCGACTTGGTTGATTGGTCGAGCCGGCGCTTTACAGAAACGAGCAGTGTGCCCCTTCCTGTCGCAGTTGTTACAGTGCATCTCCCTACAAGCACCATGTGGTGAAAATTGCACTTGTTGCACTTGGGTAGGGTTCCAGCATATGGCTTCGGTGGTGCAGTAGTGGGCAGTAGTAGTGGCAGCATGGACAACAACAGTTTGTTGCTTCTTAGCGGGGGTCCTGTGCTGGTTGCGTCTCTTCTTTTGGTCCAAAACTTCCTTTTGTTGTTCCCCCTTTTGATTGATCAGTGGTGGTGGTTGTAGTATTATGACCGGCTCGGTGGTCAACAAGTTGTTGTGCCAGCTCCCTGGCACTGTCAAAAGTAGTTGGCCTTGAAGCCAGGACACTACTTTGCACTTGGGGAGACAGTCCCCAAAGGTATCGCTCCACCTTTTTCTCCTCCGGAGTAACCATTGGGGGCAGAGGAGAGCCAATTCATTGAATCGGGTGGTGTAGGTTTCAAGGTCGGAGCCCGTCATCCTGAGGTTCCAAAGTTCTTTGTTCCAGCTTTTTGAATTTCACCTCTCGGGCAGTACTCCTTCATCATCAAGGTTTTTAGTTCTGCCCAGGATATGGAGCTAGCCACTTCGAGAGTAAGTGAATTAATCTGACAGTTCCACCAAGTAAGGGCCCGGCCGGTGAAAGTGAAGGCTGCGAACTTAACTTTGCTCGCTTCGGGGCAAGAGCACACTTGAAAGACTACTTCAGTCTTTTCAAACCATTGCATTAAAGTGATGACTCCCCGCGCCCATTGAAGTTGTCGGGTTTGCCATTGTGAAGTCTTTGTAGGAACACTCTCTTGTACGCCACATACTGTCTCCGTGGTTAGAGTTTGTAGCACCCGATCCAGAACCACCACCTCCGTTTGTCCCTATCTGCGATATTGCTGCCGCTACGGCTGCTGTTACTGCAGCCTGAAACATCGCAGGATCAAACTGTGGAGGCAGCGGCGGAGGAGGTGTTGCTGTGTTGTCGGAAGGTCTTGGTCTTCTCCTTGGCGGCATGGTTCTGTCATAAGTCGTAAACCAATGTACTTTTAGTAAAGTATATTTATAGAAAAGAGAATCTTTTATACATAAAGTATTATTACGTGTTTTTCCGGTATGTTTACGATACATACGATTTTATACTTTTAATTGACCCAATACATTGGGTTTGAGGTAAAATGAAAGTAAAAATATTTTATTTGAGTTTCCTCCTTGTTTCCAAGTATATGACTGTTTGTAAAAGTTTCACATATACTAATTTAGTCGGGACATAATTAATATATTATATTTTAAAATGATCTTTATCGGTTACTTAATTAGTTGCAAAGTGCATACCAGTCATATGTGATTAAGATATAATAGTCCTTCGAATAGATGACCCTAACTCCAAGACCACAACCAAACAAGGACAGGAAGTGAAACAAAGATACATAAATTCTAAGTCTATAGCATCTTAGTTACATATGACCTTAGCGCATCCACTTAGCAGCTATTGATCTATAAATAAAGACCTATTTAATTCTCAGATAATTTATTATAGTAACACAAAATACTCCTATAGTATTTGTAAATGTTTAGTTTTGAGTTCTTAAAGTATCCTTTGTAGTGTGTTATTAGGTTTGTTAGATTTGTTGCCCATCCTGACCATCCCCAGCATATGCAAGTCAATTCCCGGACAGATATAGTTGATCAGGCTATATCCTTCCCAGATTTAATCCACATATACTAAGGCATACTCAAAATGTTCAACTCTTCTTCTTTTGCTTTATGTTTTCGCTAGTTATGATACCATGCGAGCATGTAATGTATGTATGTATACTTTAATCAAGAAAATCATTTATTTTCTAAGAGTATATTTATTTGAAAAATGCACAAATCAGAGACTATTAGTCCCAATTGTGTTTATAGTTTGTATCTATCTGTGGTTGATATACTTAATTCACTATAAACTGTGCTCTGATACCAATCTGTCACACCCCCAAACCAAGGATGGGGAAACGTCCGGGGTGGAGGACTTCATGTATAGTATCATAACAACAATTGTAATAGTAATTGAAGCAAACACAACCAACATATATATAATTGAAAAAGTTACATCATTGTATGAATTACATGTTTACGAATCAATTACAATATGTTGACAAAATATGAAATAGTAGACGCCTTAGCGCCCCATCCTCAAAAGCACTTGGTTACCTGTTTAATGATTTCCTGAGAATAAAAAGTTGTTTGAAAAAGTG